CATGTTAAAGTCCTAACCCCCAGTACCTCAAAATGTAACTGTGTTGAGAGGATTGTTACAGAGGTGATCAAGGTAAAATGAGATCATTAGGGTGAGTCCTAATCCATTATAAACAGCAAGCCTATAAAAAGGGAAACATTTGGACACAGACACACACACACGCACACACACACACACACACACACGGGGAATTCCATGTGAAGACTGGAGTTATGCAGTCACAAGCCAAGGCACTTCCAGAGGATGTGAAAAGGGCCTGGAACAGGTCCTTTCCTAGTGGCTTCAGAAGAGGCATGGCCTTGCCGATAATACCTTGAGCTCAGATTTCTGGCCTCCAGAATAGTGAGACGGCAAATCTTTGTTGTTTAAGCCACTCCGTTTGTGGCACTTTGTCGCAGCAGTCCTAGGACACAAATCCACATGTGTTTCTTAGCTTGACCATGACTTGCATGGGCATCTCTTTGGGATAATTCTTTATTAGTCCTTATCAGAATATGTAAGATTCTTCTTTTCCAATTTCAAAGAAAGTAGGTCCAAAACCCCTTCTGGCCTTACTTAACCCCTAATCAGCCTCCCTCTTCAGGAATGGAGAGGGTAAAATAGCTCCTTGCTCTATGATCCGATTCTAGTTTCTCAGACTCTTACTAAACCTATGCTATGCATACAGGTCATGGGTTGACGGACTAGCCAGGTAAGCGGATAGACAGGTGGACAGATGGCTGGATAGATAGGTAAAGGATAGGTAATAGATAAATGTAGAAAGACCTCTCTATTTCTGTCTTTGTATATACATCTATGTTGGCAGCTATATCATCTCTACCTGGACTGCTTTTTTAATAAATGTGATACCACACGCCTCTTTCTCCCCATTTTATCAAAAACTTGCTGCAAACATCATTTTAATGAAATTGTCATGTTGAACTCTCTCATACATTTGTACTTTCTATGATTTATCAACCATTACCCATATCCTTAGGCAACAGATGCCCCTTCTTTTGGCCACATCTTTTAAATAAAGCTTTGTCCACATTTCAGGACATTTCTTTAAGATAGTGTACCAGAAGGGCAATTCCTAGGCCAGAGACTGTAAACAGGTTTAATATTCTTGATACTTATCGCCAAATTGCTCTGCAGTCAACTTAGTGTTCTTTCCTTTGGGGTTTAATCCCAGGAGAATTCTTTGTAGAGGAAAGGGAATAAGGTCGTGGCGAGCAGTGGGAGGATGTGTTCCGCCGCCACCAGCAGGTAATGAGTATTTCCTTAGGAAAAAGCTCAAAGCCATGCACAGTGATTACCTAAAATGTAGGTAGTTCAAGAAATCTCTGGCTCAAGCTTTCAGGAGCCCCAACATTCAAATGCAATTTGGGTATGAAATTGGCTGTTCACGCACTGAGCCAAAGGTATCTCTGTCTCCTCTCATCTCTGGGGTGTTTCTACTGCCCTGCGCACTTGAGTGTTTAGTTCAGAGATAATTTTCAATAAACTGTTGTCACTTGAAAATAAACAGACTGGACAATGTACAGCTCATTTGGAATATTGAGAAAATAAACAACCCAGGAGATGCTTCCTTCCTGTCTTCACAGCCCTTTTTGGAATGTGTGTGCCAGATACTTCCCTTGTTCCCCAAAGAAGGTTTTATTTAAAATAAAGCAGTTTGTTTGGCACTTCTGGGCAACCCTTTTCTGAAGAACCACAGCAATGGGTGGCTCTGGAGCCCGGCTTGGAAGAAACCAGTTCATCCTCCTCGTGCTCTTTCTTTTCCAGATTCAGAGTCTGGGCCTGGACCTCGATGGCCGTCCTACCGCCGAAGTCTGTGCCACACACACAATTTCACCAGGACCCAAAGGTGAGGAGAGAAAAAGGAGGTTTTCACAGACAGTAAGTAAGCTCTTCGACTTCATCTCTCCACCCCACTCTAACTCTCAATGGCTTTCTCTGCTCCCCTCCCGAGAGTCCTCCCACTCTCCTTCTATCTTGGAAAATCAGTGTCTTGGTACTTATTTAAAAATCTGCCTTGATGTTGGGTGAGAGAACACTGGGAGGGGGGAGCCCCGGGGCAGGGATGTGGTGGAATCCACCCCGGGCGAGGGAAATTCCCTCTTCCAGGCTGCTCCAGGGAAGAGGTTCGAGCAGGACCTTAATCTCCAGCAGTCTTTTCCTTAAGAGTATCTCTATTCATGGGCTGTTTTTATGGTAACTGCTTTCTCAACCTGATTCTGGTAAAGCTACTAGACAAAAGCTTAGTAAAGTAAAAATGAATTCTTTTATCTATTTCATAAACGAATGGCCTCCTGGGTTCCGATGAAAAGGAAAATTTTCATCAAGGATTGGAGGTAGTATAGAAATGAACATTTCTTTATTTGAAAGTGGAGTCTTTAGGGCCAAGTGCCTTCGGCTGAAGGATGATAGGATATTGCAAACCTTTTTTTTTTCCAAGTAGAGCCAAGGTCCAAATGCGCTTCAAGCAACTGGTTGATAAAAACACTGCTGTTTTCCTGGTTTCAGCTCTGACCCTTTTGTTCTGAAAGTGGTCACTGCAGTAGAAATTGGTGCTCCCTCATTAGTAATTCATGCTGTGTTTCTCCAGGCTAGAGGGTGGAAGAATTGCAGCTGCTTAAAATTTTAAGTAGAAGAAAAGGGTCTTTAAAAAAACAAACAAACAGAAATGCATTGCCCCATGCCTGTCAGTTATTTAAATGTGTATTGCTTAAAGTGCATTTTTCTTAATCAGTGAATTAATTTCCTCCTAAGATTGCAAGCCAAGATTTAACCTTTGATACCATAAAACAAATGTGGGGAGGAACAATAAGACCCTGGGGCTTCCAAATACTTTCTTGGGTGAATAAATGAATAATGTGAGGGCAAATGTTCAGAAAAGAAAGTTTCAATTAGAAATAAAGTATTTACTTTAAACCATTACTGGACTTTTCACAGACTATAAGAAACTTTGTATTATTCTTAGAATTTCATGGAAAATACCCCAAATTTAAGTTACCCTTGTCCCTGCAAATGGGAGAATCGATTTGAGAACAGAACTGTTAGTTACATAATTTTCCTTGCGTAGAAACTGCAAGTTTCAAACTGAAAGAAGAATGGACAAAGTGTTGTCGAAATAATGTCCAAAATATAATGTATTTCAATTCAACAATTCTATTCATTCCTATTCAGCCAGCATATATTGAATAGCTGTTAAGTGCTAAGCACCATTTTAGGCGCAGGAGATGAATTAAATACTATTTATTAGTGTCAGGAGCAGTGGAGAAATAAATAGTTTAAGAGGGAGAGCAGAGGGCAATTAATATTTGTTGGACACCAGCGTGGTGTCCACCCTGAGTCCTCCTACCCTCTTTTTCTTACTTAACACAAAACTTCTCCCTTCCCATTAGAAACTGTTGAGATTTCAAGTAATGGAAACCTCTAACCCTCTTCCTGAGCCTGTGTGGAAATTAAGAGAGGATAACAAGCCAGAAATGTGACAGAATGAAGAAGTGAGTGCTCCTGGGGTGGGAAGATTTGGGAAGGAACCCTCTAGAACCCCGGGTTCCTGAACTAAGTCTGTATCAGACTTGGTGTCATGTCTTCTTCCCCTGGAGCCTGGGGAGTTGGCATCAAATGGATTCTAAGTTGCCTTCTTGTTAAAGAGAGTCCAAGATTCTGGAGGGTGCTGAATACCTACTAATTCTCAGGTATCCTGGGGGATGCTAAAGTTGTCAAGCTAACGAAGAACTTGCCCTAGAACTTGGACCTACATTTCCAGCAGGTGTTAGACTACACACTCTTGGGGTCAGGGCCCAGTTAACTCAGTTTTTTTCTTTGCACATTGCCTCTATCTGCACAGCACATGTAACCAGAGCCTCCTCATGTCTGCCCTTCCTCTGCCCCATGCGCTGTGCTGGGTGCTATAGACACTCACCCAAAACAAGATATGATCTTTTGTCTCCTCTCAACATCTACACTGCCATCTACCCTACCTCATCCCTTCATGAACATGGGGACAGCCCTCCCGAGTCCTGAAGGAGGCAGATTTGTTTATTTATCTCTACAAAAAGAAAAAGAAAAAAAAGCAAGCTTGAAATTTAAGCAAACATTTTTTTTAAAAAAGCTCGTTTATTGCTTTTGTTTAATATATTTTTCCTAAAAGCAAGCTGATCTATATTTATCTCCATGGCTAATCATCTCAGAAACTTCTAGATGCTCTGAGAAACAGACAATAAACGTTTTCCCTAAATTCATTTGGGAGACTTGGAATTAAATAAAAGTATGTAGAGCTGCAGGTGGGAGACCATTCATGGTAACCTGTCATATAATATGTTGTTTAATACATAGATATTTTCTATTGCACTATTTCCCAAGCTTGATTTAATGGGAAAAAAGAGACTGGATTCAATCTGCTTGACCTTCAGTGTGGTGCTGCATCCGTGTATGCTTTAGTTTCTCTGTTTTTTAAATGAGCTTCATTATAGACCTATTTTAAGAGTAATATCAGATAATCAATGTGAACTTTAAGCTGTGTAGACATCATAGACACTTAAATTCTGTCTATCCTTCTTCGGATTTATTGAAGTCTATTAAGTAACACTTTTGAGAATGAGCCTGGCTCTAGTTATCAATCTTTGTTGAAAGCCATTTTTATATTTCTTTCTATGCCTTAAATTTATTATTTTGTGCGGGTTAGGAGCAAAAAAATTTTTTTCTTCCATGTTGGCAGTTTAGTTAAACAATTTACGTGAAATTCTGACCTCTAGTGGTTTTACTTGAAAACAGCTATGACAAGAAATGTTAAGAAGACATGTTAAAAAGAATTATATATATGTTCATGTATAACTGAAAAATTGTGCTGAACACTGGAATTTGACACAACATTGTAAAATGATTATAAATCAATAAAAATGTTTTAAAAAAACTAAACAAACAAAAAATGCAGGCTCTACTAAAAGAATCCAGCTTAAAAAAAATTGTAAAATCAGTAAGAAATATTTGGGTGATGTGTCACAATTCCCAGGAACTTCCAAATACGTGATCTTGTTTAATTTTCACAACCGCCCTACGTGGTAGCAATTACTTTAAACTTAAAGATGAGGAAACAGTCTTAGTGAGGCCAAGTGCAGTTCCCAAGTTCTTCCACGTAGATGGAGCCCAGACCTGCAATTTGAACTTTACTCCCGGCCTCCTGGCTCCAGGTCCACTGTCATCCCATGGTATCTACCGGTTTCTATTAGAGTCATGTTTGGAAATACAGCCCACTGACCCATTTTTGATAAAATAAGAATAGGACAGTGTCTCAGAACATGGAGTTCGTGCATCCTCACAGCCCAGCCTTGTACTGGACCCTAATACGCGCTGAAAGTGAGGACGTGCTTCCTCTTGGATAATTAACTCCATCATTGTATTTGTCTGTTTGCAAATTAACGGTCTTTCACCCCATTGCTTAGTTGGGCTTCCGCCAGCTTTTTAGTTTAAGCGTTTTTTTTTTTCTTTCAGTGACATTTGTGTGTGTGTCTGTGTATGTGGCCTCAAAGGTCCTTTGTGATCCATTTGGCTTCTCCCAGCTTCTCCCGTGTTGAGCTGCTTATCCACTTGTAGTTTGCTTCAGGCACCCCTGCTCTGTCTCCCATTCCTGACCCAGGATCTCTGCACTTGACGTTCCCCCTGCCCAGCCCAGCCTTGCCCCAGATCTCCCCAGGGAGAGTTCCTTCTTCCGATTCTGGGTTTAGCTCAAATGCCATTCGCACAGTGGGGCCCTGGCTGACTACCCCTTCATTCTCTGTCATAGTTCCCAAAACACTGTATTATTTTCACAGATATTACAAAGGAAAATCCCTTCTGTGTTTATATATTTACACTCAGTCCTGGGATGCAAGCTTCGTGAAAGTAGCGCCCCCGTTCATCGGGCTGAGTGTGTTTTCCTACTGCCTAGAAGAGTTCCTGACACGTCGCAATTGCTCAAGAAATATTTTTGATTAAAGAAATGAACCCAAATTTTCCAAGATCCCCAGACAGTTCCTTGAAAATCCTTTCCAAGGATGTCCCACCATTCCCCCAAAGTGTTGCAGTGCTTCCAAGAAGACAGCTGCTCTTGGAAGCCTCTGTCGTTTCATCACTTCTTCGGTGGCCAAAGAACTCTTTCACCCCCGGCCTTGGTGCTCCGTAAGCACAGCTGTGCCCCGTCTCTGCCTGGCCTGGCCGCTAACTTGGTGACACTTCACTCAGTAGGAAAGGCTTTCCTTTGCTTCTGAGGGCATTGCAACTCCAACAAGTAACCGTCGTGACTCCTTAGCGCAAGTGGCCTGTGATGAACTCATGGGGCGGAGAAGGGCTTTCTCCCCTTCAGCATGACTGTAATGACAACCTGAGTCACGGTGCTGGGAGCAGTAATACTAACACACACTGGATGCATGCCATTGGCCGGGCACTGCCTGAGTGCTGTACCGCCATTTTTAAATTGAACTATCTCAGTAGACTTTGAGAAAGAAAACGTGCTAATTCTCATCTGACAGAGAAAGAAACTGAGGCTCAGGACTATTAAGTTACTAGCCTAAGGCCACACAGCTGGACAGTGGCAGGTTGGAACTCAATTCAATTCTAGTTGGACCCCATGCTCCAATCAGAGTGCTAAACCATCGAATCAGCTGGAAAGGCTGTATTTCTGCACCACACGGGTTTTACAGGGAAAGATGAAATAGTAACTTAAAGTTTTGCTTAAAACTCCTTTTGGAGGGGGAAGGTATAGCTCAGTGGTAGAGTGCATGCCTAGCATTTGTGAGGTCCTGGGTTCAAACCCAGTTCTTCTGTTAGAAAAATATAAATAAATAAACCTAATTACCTCCCCCACCCCCCAAAAAAAAG